AATAAAAGACAAAAGGGTAAGCTCTCATACTATCCAGAAGTGGGAATAATAAAACAAAATGATTTTCCAGCAAAGCATCTTCTCAACAGCACATATTCTTCTTCAAGAAATAGCCTATACAAGCAGTGTTTTTATACAATAAATGGATCATGCCAAAATGACAAGTGAGATTTAAATTTCAGACCTCAAAGCTGCTTTAAACGACTGGGTGTCTAATTTTTCTAGCACTGGCTCTTAGATAGTCAGACCCAAGACTCTGCAACAAGCTAAAGTGACTTGTTTTCCATGGATCCCAAGTTACTATTACTTAATGCATTTACATTAAGAAAAACGTTAACAGAACACGTGGAAGCAAGATAATGAACACACTCAAAATAACAAACCACACTTCTGATTGAGTTTCAATGAAATAATCAGTTTTCCCACTACAGTGTAGACCCCGAAGCACATCAAATGGAAATTAAATGGAGCTATCTCTTCGTGTGGAAATATGAGGTTACTCCTAGTGCTTCTCAACCATTTTTTAAGCCATCTCCTATTCTATAGCATAAAAACCTTATATACCCTCAGCAAATGTTATTCGAGACTTCAAAGCAGTTTAACTATTATAGCAAAAAAAAAAAAAAAAACACCACCAAAAACAAGTTAATTTCTGATTGTTTTTTCAATGTCCCACTATAGCAAAACTTAACAAATACTTCACTGAGTAAACAGATATAAATAACTTATTTGTTTTTATCTTAAAGAAACAAGGTAAAAAATGCCTATCAATGCTAATGCATTGATGACATTAAAGTGATATTTATTAGGACCTTCAGTATATCTCCTCTCGTTGAGTTACTGCAGCTGATCTTTTCAATTCTTGCATTAGGACTAAGGAAATGCTGACTTCAGTATTTGTGAAATGATTCAGCAATAAGGCCTCTTTTTTGATTCTGAAAGTAACGGAGCCCTAATATAGTACCTTTTCTCGAGTAATAAAAGTTGCTCGCAAACAGGTTAAGTTTTCATCACAGAGGCAACAGTAAAATAGGCAAACTGTGAAAAACTTTGACAAGAGTTATGATAATGAAAGTACTAAGAATATCATCCTATATTTGCATATCTACATAGCATTTTGCCGTAAATAAAATATGTAATTTCATAACTTTATGAAAATACTTTATGAAGTAGATATTATTATCATTTGATTGAAATAGTATAAAGTGGCTTTTTCAAGGTCACCCAGCTAGTAAGGCAAATATTTGAAAATCTTCATCCAAACTCCACAATCAGGGCATAAACACAATCTTTTTTTCTTTCAACCCCCCAATATTACTCTCTTTATATCAAGTCCCATAAAAATTCCAAGTTCCCATTGCAGCAATTTTTATTTTTTCATACCATTATAACTATGGGTGCAATGAAAAACATCTTTCACATACATTCTTCTACCTAGGTCTATATGACTCTCCTCCCCTATAAGGAAATCACAGGCACGGGTTTTCAAGTCTATTAACTACTGCAAAAATGTCTGGAATTTTCTGTTCTTCACTTAGAAAGACTCAAATATAACTCCCAGTACCTCTTCGTTCCAAAAAGGTAAGCAGGAGTCGCCCTTATATACCCAGCCTTCTAGATTAACAGACACTGACTCCAGGGATTTGGTAGAGAAAGGCCAGCTATATAAGAATAACTAAACTAAACTAAATGTTATGTAGGGTAAGGAAAAATGTCAGGCTTTTCTGCCCTCCCACCATCAGGATAGATAATGTATCCTTGCGGTCCTTTATGCATGCCTGATGGCAGGCACCTGGAGTAGGGTGTGGGAATAGGTAGATGGGATTCACCTAGGCTGAGACTGTGCTTTTAAGGGCGGAGTCATGGGGATGCCAGCAGCAGCAGCAGATGAAAGAGAAGCAGCAGAAGGGGAGAGATAAAGAGGGGGGGAGGGGGGAGAATGAAAGGAGGGAGGTGGGAGGTGGGAGGGGGTGCCAGAGAGCACAGATAGCCGGGACCCCATTACCCCTGCCTGCTGTGTGCCTGGTAAACCCCAATAAAAGCCTGCAAAAAAGCCACTGATGGCTCTGACTCCTCTTTTACCCCGTCTGCTGGATCATAGAAAACCTGCCCTGTGGTCTTCCCGACCGTACAGTTATATTTCTACCAGTGTTTATTATCATCCTAAATATTTTATTTCTGAAGTCTTACTAAGACTAATGATAAAACCCTGGCATTAGTAAATTAACATAATTTAATAATGGTAGAATTTCATTCATATAAAATCAACTGGTTTTACTCACCTCTGAAGCTATGAGACTAAATGAAGATCATGAGACTAAAGTATTATTATATGAAAATTGCTAAACATCATACCTAGCAATTAGTAAGTACTCAATAAATGTCACTATTAGTAAATTACTGCACTATTAAAAACATAACATAATAAAAGGCCATATTTATAATTAACCAGCAAATATATTCTGTTAGCTATTTTGCAACATCTACACAAAACATAGGTATCTGTTTCTATGCTTACAAATATACATATATAAATATATAAATATTCAGAAAAGACTTGAAGAGAATTGAACCATGATGACCTCTGAGAAGATGGGACAGTGCTTTTCAAAGAGAACTCTGATTTGTTTAAAAAAAAAAGTATTCCTTCTGTAAATAAAATTAATTTTTTAAAAGCAAACAGACAAAGCATTATTTTAGTGTGTTTCTTCAATTTCATAGTTGATTTCAGTATTACATGAAAAAATTTACTTTTATTTGTGGCTAATGTATCCAAGTGAGGGATAAAGACTCATTTCCTTTATTTAGCAATACCATTCAAGCTTTACGTTACACACATTGCTTTCAATAATCTTCCTAATGATAGTCCTATTTGCTATATCAAAAATGCCTACTTATACAAAAAGGAATGGGGGGGGGAAGCCCTCATCACAATTTTAACAAGTTTTAAAATCACTCAATGTGTTTAACCAATTGCAAGGAGGCTTTCAAAGTCGAGGATGCCATAGCTCAAAACAGTTTTACATTCAAAGATTATCTTTTTCACTTTAATTTTTGTGTATGTTTATATTTAATAAACCATGCAGAGAAAGCTGAGTCCCTGGCTAAAATGTTGCCCATCTAAAATCATCATAATAATTTCAAATGTTTTGAATCTTCCCATAATTAAAAACCTCTCCTCCAAGGCTCTTCCCAATTTCCAATTCTTGTCTGTACCATCCTGACTCTGGTTTTAAAATTCTAATTTCCTCTAGTTTACAACTGTAACTTTCACTTTTTCATCCCATTTTTCTTCTTCAGGTAATCTAAAGTTGAGCCTATAAACTACAGGCAAATCAGGTCACAAAACTTCTTCTTAACCTTCTTGTAACAGCAAATAGCAGGGCCTCCTCTGGCTCAAGAATGGAGAAAGCCACATGCACCACAGGCCCAGCCTGCTTAGGCCCCCTTCAATTTATAAATCCAGCTTGCAAATTAAAGGTGTCTAGTGCTGTACAAAAAGACCAACATTTCAATGGAGGAGTGCCAGTGAAAGCAACCTCTTACTTAACCAGGAGGACACTGAGCTGAAAGAAAATCTCTATCTCAAATAGCTAAGGGATTCAGTTATTGTGGGTCCTTTTGCAATCTCTTTTAGATATATTTAAAATTCAAGAAAGTTCTTTTCTGTAAATTAACAGGAAATAGTATTTGATAAAAAGGTATTTTTTGTAATTTCAAATAAATCCCAGTTATAATTGCAGCTAGTACAACTGTAAGGCAATTCTAATAATGATTATAACAAAATGTAGCTTTATTCCTGAAAAATGAAAATCACATGTATTGACAATTTTCTTTCTCCTAGATGCTCAGTTATGGACCCATACATATTAAGCCGCTGTACTTGCAAAAACATACAGCAATGGTTCCTCCATTAGCTGACTGTATTAATTCTATAGGCCTTAACCTAACACTTCTTAATTCTAGAAGTGGTGAATGCCATGTTCCAGATCCACCACATACCATGTTGTTATTGGTCAAGTTACTAGGCCTCAGTTTCTGAGCTTCTAGTAGTACCCACCTTAAAGGATTACTATAAGGTTTATATGACTTGCTAATTATATAAAAAGCACTAGAACTGTGCATTATACAGAGAAAAGCACTGTGTAATTCTTGGCTATTATTACAAACCTTAACATCAGAAACACACAGGTCGTAGAACATTCACAACCAGAAAGAACAGATTCCTTGACAGAGCTTAGTTTTATTTTAGACCTTTACCTGCATCATTCCCTCGGTCTAATGCCTTATCCCTCCTATATTCCACCCTGCTACTTATTTATCTTTCTTTGGACAATAATGTCTTGAGAACAGGGACTCTACCTCACTTGATCGTCTCAACATCCAGCACCATGCCTTGGACAGAGTAGATGATCTATAAAAACTAAACGAAACCTAAATTTGAGGCATAAATAATAGCCATTTATCTGTCTGTCTCACTCAACTTAAGCTCCTGAAGATAGAGGTCATTGAATGTTGATATCCACATCCATGGTGGGTCTATCAATAGTGGCATTAAATAATAGCTTATCACATTATATTTTTTTCAAAATCTCTAATTTATTTTAGATTTTACTTGGATTTATTCACAAAATGTATTTACTAAAAATGCATTTATGAAATGGAAACAATTTTCTTTTTTTCCCCTAAAAGATCTTGATAAAATGGGAAACAACACTTTTCAATGATTTTCTAGTCCTCAAAGTGATGCCCACAAAGAAGAGAAGCAACCTCTGTGTCCACCGCATCATCTTTTCAATGATGCTCTGGGTGGAGCCTTTGTCAGGGTCTCTTCCTCCAGAATCTGCCAGAACAAAGCATTTCTTCAAAAAGAGTCACCCTCTGACAGTTGTTCAGATCTTATTCAGTCACACTGTTTCCTAACTCTTTCACAATTGTGACATAATCATTATTTGAAAATTCTCTCTGCCCATCCTGCATATGACCATGTCCTAGTTCAGTTATGACAAAAAGTCAGTTTGGGTAGCATCCTATTGCTGATCATGTGAAATATGAATTCAGTACTGGCTGTCTTCTAATCATCACATGCTCATCAGTGAAAGATCTTCAGGGTGACCTTATATTTGATCTCTGATTGTTACCACACAGGGGCCTACCTCCCAGCATCTTCAACCTCAAGACATGTACATATCACAATGGAAAAGGTAATAACCTTCTGGGAGGCTAGATAAATATCTTTGTTTTCTCAGGGAAATATGGTGATTTAACATTTCTCTGCGTCATTCTATTACCAGATTGTTTCCAGGTGTTATAACTGGGACACTGTCCCACAACATGTGACACTTACCTAATACTAAGTCAGAGCATAAAAGAATATCCATGTCATATATGATCCCGTCTTCTAATTTTCCTTATTCAAAGTAGTAAGATAAAGTCTTATTCCTCTTGATTTTACAAGGGGAAATTAAGCTGATTTTTTTGCTTTTGATGAAGTTAAAAATAAAAATGCTGTCAAATGGAAACTTCCTTGCTATCCCTGATGTCCAGATCAGTCACAGAATTTGAGAGTTAAAAAGAAAGCAATCTTCCCCATTCAACAAATCTAGCTTAAGGCCCTGAAAACTTGAATGATTTGCCATGGTCACAAAAGAAAACAACCAAAGCTAGAATAAATGTCTTCCTGCCTCCTCAGTCCATGTTTTCCATATATTACACTAAAATGAGTCTCTTGCCAAGAACTTCACCCTGACCCACAAACCTGGAGAGGTGGTGCTCAGTTTTACTTCAATCCTTACATCTTCATAGCCCAGCTACATAATTGTCTGCTAAGAAAAAAATATTAGAAAGATAAGACTGCCATCTCTAAAAATAACTTAGGGACATTATTATTTTCTTAAAGATATTATTCCTAGCAACTGGTACAGTTTTCTTTCTTCCATAATGTTTCCAAAACAAGGCAGTGAGTCCTCTAACATCCTGCTTTCCTAAACAGTCCTCAAACATATTTTGAAAAAAACTGGGAAAACCCCAAATGCAAACACCCTTATTACAGAGAAGAAATGGAGCTGATGTCCACTTGAGGTCACACGCCCAGAAGCATTCAAGGCAGGGATAAAAGCCTATCTGAGATTTAAGACAGCTAAAGAACAGCTTCTGTCACTGAACAGATATTGAGAACAGATATTGAGAATGGAAATAGAACAGATATTAAGAATAGAACACATCCAGTGTTACCAGATACAGTAAATGATAGGACACCTCAAAAAAACAAGCTTATAGTAAAAACTGGTAATATTCCCCCATCTATTACCATAAAAGCCACTAATCCAATAACTTCAAACATATTCTGAATTTTATACTTTGCTATAAATAAAAAATTGATATTTTAACCTCAAATTTGAGTTTTTTCTAATGAGTAGAGAAATGGTCTGATGGTGGGGATCGGGGGAAAAAAGTGTTTTTTTAAGATGTAATATGGAAAGAGATCACAAAAATAACGTAGTAAGACAAAAATGTCTATTTTTAATGACTCATATACTTGGAAAAAAGAAATAATATATTTAAAGCTGTAACAGTCCTAGGGCTTTCATAATTTTTATGCCCATACAAAATTGATGAAGGAAATAATTTTGTAAATTATTTTAAAATTACAGTTTAATACTAGTCTGAGATTTAAAAAATCTGATCATATTAATGTGAACTCAGAAGCAGATAAGTAAAACCCTATTAAATTTCTTATTTCATAAGTAATTTAAAAAAGAAAGCTTAAAAAAGAGATTAATGAAGAAACCAATTAGATCAATTTTGACAATAAATATAAATGAGTAAAACTGTTAGAAGGAAAAGGTTTTCATTAAATTAAAAAATGAAACCCAATTATGCTCCACTTTTAGGAAATATATCTAAATGAAATGACAAAGATAGGATAAATATAATAAGTGCAAAGATTTATAAAGAAACAACCTAAAAGAGCTAAATTAATGTCAGCTAAAACAAAGCAACAGGCATAAATTAGGAAGAAAGCCACTCATTCTGATTATAGGTATACCTCAGCTGATATTTGATAATAATTAACACATCAACACACAAACCAAAACAAAAACTAATAGAAAAAGAAAAATTAACATAAAAAATCACTGATTTCTAGTTAAAACTTTTGATAGACCAGACCAAAAATAACGATAGAAAAGTTGAACATGATAACTATTAGGTATCTTAAAAGAAGACAACTTCTTTTAAAAAGTCTTTGGAATTTTACCAAAATTGATTATAAAAAACCCACAAAGTCTTAAAAAAAATTAGAAAAGCAGAATGCTATTGATCATTTGCTAATAGTGCCTAACACTTAAAACTGACTTGGAAATTTGAGAAACAGTCTTCTAATTAACTACTAGCTCAAAGAGAACATACTAAAATATATTGGGTGTTGTCTAAGAGTACATAGAAAAAAAAGTCTTCTATTTTATATATTATAAACTTTCTTCCATAGCAAAGATACAAAAAAATATAGCAGTTCAAGTTCAAAATTTTTCTTTCCCCTGTCACAATACAGGTTAGCAGATGTGCTTCACAAGGCCATTCACAGACCCACTCTGGCTCTGCTATACTCCATCCTTGGAACTAAGGTGACTGATAAGACTTGATGCAAGATCCCAGTTGGCAAAATTGGAAAAGAGAAAGTCTAGGGCAAGTTGTTGATTTGTAAACAAGAGATCTTATACATAATACTAATCACTTCTCATTAATCACAAAGCCCCACACTGCTGCAAGAGAAGCTGAGAGGTATATTTCTTAGATAGGCAGCCATATATGGGGAGCTCAGGTAAAATCCAGGGGCTTTTCTCCTAAAATAAATGAGTCTAAGGAACACTAGAACAAAAGGGTATGCTGCATACCCTTTTTTGTTAAAAAAAAAAAAAAGTAGAATAAAACAAAACCAAGAATGGGTTATTTGTAATTATTTCATTTTATCTGGATTCTTCTTAGTGTCAAAAATATACCAAAATCAAAATCAACAAGCAACTGTAAACCAGACACACACTGGAGGGGTGGGCAGAGAAGAGAGGAGTGAGTAGGATCAAAACAAGGGGGGTGGGAATTGTATGGAGACTATAACTAAGATGAAAATACATACATTGTGCAAAAATGAAAAATGATGTAAAATATATAAAATAAAATTAAAAATAAAATAAAAAATATATATACAAAATATCAACTTAATAAATTAAAAATGCACATCAACACATTCTAAGGATGCTAGAGCTCCATTCCACTATGTTGAATCATAAGCTAGAAAGTTAAGCTGAGAATTCATCACTCTCTTTCCCTGTTTCAGAATTCTTGTATTATTGTTCATACTGTATGTGTTCATTTATTTAAATGGATTTTCCAGGTTGACTCAGTTTCAGACTTACAAGTGTTCTTCAAACATTGAAAAGAATAACTATAATAAAGAAAAAATCAAAATCAACAAGCAACTATAAACCAGAGATACACTACGGAGGGGGGCGGGGAGAGGAGGGATTAGGTTCAAAATAAGGGGGGTGCAATTGTATGGGGAATATAACCAAGACGAAAATGCATACATTATGCAAAAATGAAAAATGATGTAAGAATTATATAAAAAATTACAGATAGAAAATAAAGTTTAAGAGTTGAGTGTTAAAAAAAAAAATTAGACAGAGGTTACTCCTTTGCAGTAACTTTCAAAATTTGTGAATTTTTAAAATTAACATCATTGAGATCTACTTTATATACAATGAAATATGTAATTTTAAATATAATGAATTTCAATGAATTTTACAAACATGTTTGTGTGTGTGTATCTCTCTCTTCATAGAATCACCACAATCACTGACCACTGTCAAGATGTAGAATATATTCATTATTCCAAAAAGTTCCCTTGTGCCCTATATAAGTCAGTCTCTTTCTTCTCTCAACTACAGGCAACAACCTGTCTGCTTTTTGTCACCATAAATTTGTTCTTTTTAGTGTTTTTGATATAATATTCAAGGGTAGTAAATGGAGCGTATCTTTTAGTATTGGGCTTATTTAACTCAGCAAATGTTTGTGAAATTCATTCATGTTACTGTGTATCGGTACTTGATCTTTTAATTATTAATTAATATTCCGTTGCTTAGATAAAAGAAAATGTGTTTACTCAATCATTAGTTGATGGACATTTAGGTTATTTCCAGCTTAGGCATATTATTAATCAAGCTGCTATGAATGTTTATGGAGCAGCAGTTGTATGTGAACATGTTTCATTTTTCTTGGGTAAATATTTCAAAGTACAGTTTTGGGCCCACATAGTAATAATATGATTAACTTTTACACACTCTCAAGCTGTTTCCTAAAATACTTTTTATTCTTTTCCCTTCCCACCATCAATCTATGAATGTTCCAAGAGGTCAACATCTCAGCAAACACTCATTTTTAATATTAGCTTTTTGATGACTGTACAATGATAATCTCATTATTGTATTGATGTCCAAAGATGTTGAACCTGCTTTTCTATATGACATTCATTGGTTATTCATTATCTTTTTGTATCTATTTTTTAAACTAGGTTGTCTCATATTAATGAACTGTAAGAGTTCTTTATATATTCTAGGCAAAAGTCATTTGTCAGGTATATTGTTAATATGTTCTCTCGGCTTTAGGATGCCTTTTCATTTTCCTAACAATGTCTTTTCAAGGATAAATTTTAAATTTTGATGGAGTCCCATTTTTCAGTTTTTCTTTTATAGTTCATGCTTTTTGTATCCTAAGAAATCTTTGCCTATCCCAAGTTAATATTTTCTCCTGTGAATTTTAAAAGGTATATAGTTTTATTCTTTAGTAATTAGATATATGATTCTTTTCAAATTATTTTGTATGTATAAAACATAAGGGTTGAGGTTATTTATTTTAGATATTAAGATATCCAGGTGGTCCAGTACCATTTGTTGAAAAACTATCCTTTCCCCATGGATTTACCTTAGCACTGCTGTTAAATAACAACTGACCATAGATGTGTGAGTCTGTTTATGGGTTCTCCATTCATTTTCATTAATATATATGTCTATCTTAGGCCAACACTGCCTCTATAACTGTCACTTTGAAGAGGCAGCTTTAAAATGTAGAAGTCTTGAAAATCTTCCAATATTGTTCTTGTCATTTTTTTTTTCTTTTCCAGGTCCTTTCTTTTTCCATATAATTTAAATATTCAGTCTCCAACTGTTCATTGCTAGTCTATACACATAAGACTGATTTTGTGTATCTATGCTGTGTCCTAAAATCTTGCTAAATTCAATTAAAACTTCATGGGTTTTTTTTTTTGAGATTTCTTAGCATTTTCTCTGTTCAAGATCATATTGTCTGCGAATAAATACATTTTACTTCCACCTTGCCAATCTGTATACCATTTGTTTCTTTTTATTGCTTATTATACTGGGACCTCATTACAATGTTAGATAGACAGAGGGAGGAAAACAGGCCCACTTGGCAAGTTTTCTATCTTCAGGGAAGGACAATGCATCTTTTAACAACAGAGATTTTAACTAGAAGTCAGATGTAGATTTTATCAAACTGAGAAAGTTTCCTTCTATTTCTAGCTTCCTGAGAGAATTTATCATTAATGACTGTTGAATTAAGTTCAGTGCTTTTTCTGCACTATTGAAATTGACAGGATCTTATAGATAGATAGCTCTTTTCCCTTTTTCCTTTTACAGTGATTACTTATGCTAGTGGATTTTCCAATGTTAATCATGTTAATCCAACCTTGCATCCCTAGAATAAGCCTATTTTTAATATACTGCTGGATTTGATTTGCTAATGACTTGTTAACAAATTCTTAATCTATGTTTATGAAGACTGGTTTTCCTTTCTTGTAATATCTTTATCTAGTTTTGGTATTAGGGTACTGCTGATCTTCTAAATTGAGTTGAAAAGTATTAAAAATATTTGCCCTTTGTTATTTGAGTAGTAAATTATTTAAATTGAAGCCCCCACTAAATCATTAAATATCTTTATTTATTGAGGAAAAAATGTTTGGGGGGAGGTTAAAGAGCCTATGCTTACATGAATCAAGTTTGAATATACAGCATTACTGAGAATAACTGAATGGTATTTAAAAAATGATTCTTAACCAAGGATAGCACTAGGGTGAGATGAGTGAGGCACCTAACACACCCCACTCTCTTCTCACTAGGCCCAGCCCTGTCCTTAAGTATATACTATGAATGTACAGAAATGTCGTGCTACTCAGAGAGGGGTTCATGGGTCAACATGGGTTCAGCATCAACATTCCCTGGAAACCTGTTAGAAATGTAAATAATTGGGTCCCATGATCGACTGAATCAAAATTTACATGTTGACAAGCTATTCAGATAATTCATATAGATGTGAAAATTTAAAAAGTGGTGCCCAAGTTTAATAATTTCTCCTGTTATTGAATTCTGTACTATTTTCAAGTAGTGTACTATGATAATTATGTTATTAGAAGAGACACATTAAAGTAGAAATCCTCAGTCTCTATATTCTGTTTAGATTTATAACTTCTAATTAGCTATGATCTTTGATGACCAGCCTTATTAAAATTGAGTTAGAGATTTCAAAGATCAATATATTAAGTGCTTATATACTTAGGTTTGAATCCCAATTCTGACAAAGCAAGCTGTTTAACTGTTAATGATGTAACCTGACTAAGACTTAGCTTCCTCATCTGTTAAATGAGGATTATAATATACCTAAAAGGATTGCTGTGAAAATTAATTTAGCTAAAATACATGAAGTGTGAAGAACACAGTAAGTACTGTTTGTTTGCCATTACTATTATGTGGAAAAACAAGTAAATAAGCTCTAAGTGAACCTGATACCAAGTAGCTGCATTTAACAGAGAGAATTACACTACATTTGAGACTTGTTTCACCCATTTGCCTATTTATTATTGGCTTAAAAGGGGGTGGGTATATTAGTAGTTTGTTAAATTTGGGTGTAAAAATTAATCTCAACTGCCTAGATATAAGGTATTAAGAACCATGACACATGAGGTAGTACTGTCTATTTCAACTCCTTGACCTTGGCTCAAGTCAAGACAGAAATATCAACACAGGACAGACAATCCACACTACATGTTTTGGGTCAGAAGTTTGTTTGGGTGAAGTCAAAATAGTCACCAAAAAAAAAGGAGTTGAAATATCTAAAAGACAAAGAGTATACATAAAGGGATAGAGCGCGCAAAGTCAGAAACCCTGGGAAGACAGAAACAAAAAGAGACTGAAGGTGAAAACACCTCAAGGAGATCAGGCCGCTCTTCAACAATCAAAATAGTGTAGTCAAGAGAACACTGATTTAATATGTGTGCCAGGCACAAGTGCCAGGGAGGCCCGACTGTAGAAGGAAGCTGTGCCAGGCTAGAGGCAACTTTATGATGAGTTATCCTATTACTCAGGTGCTAACCACCAGTAGCAATCAAATACAAAGTTCTTAAGTGTCACAGACACACTGAATATCATTCTTTCCTAATGCTAAATTCCAAGTTGCACACTAAACTATAAGAAGAAACCTGAATTTGTGTATAGTCTTATTCAGACCTAACTAAAAGCACTTATGACTTAGGATTTGCTTTAATCATATGTTTGCCTATTCTAAGGGAAGAAAAGGGAATAGCTGTATCACACTCAATGAAACAATCAAATACGGTCACTATTTTCAAAGAATTTCTGGTGTAAGGATAAACGTAAGGTGATATTTTCATTTTTCACAAGATCTTTCCAAACACTATTTCCTAATACCATGCTCTTTACTCTTGAGACTCAGTGAACTTTTGTTTGTTTTTAATTGAAGTAACATAACACTATATAAGTTTCAGGTGATCATCGCTGAGAATCAACACATGTATATACTACATTAAGATAACATTAAAACTCCAAATGTATTCTTCACCATGCCACTATCCTCTTTTTCACAGCTGAACTTATGTTTTGTAACTACAATCTATTAGTGGATTTGTATATGTATGTATTGTTTGTTATAGAGAAAAAAATAAATTTTATTAATGAATGTTAAACAAAAAATAAAAGAAAAATGCCTCAAAGTAAATTTCTTAGATGAGAACATGACAGGAAATCAACTTTGAAAGTAGCTCTTCATTTACCTCAAATATTGGAAATATTCACCTGGAGTGTTTTAAACTTTTTAAAAGACCTAATACAAACACAGGAGGAAGAATGTGAGGAGGATTCTGAGAACTGCTCTGACAAAGGAAGATTGTAAAAACTGCTATAATTCCAGAGTTGGTTAGACATCAAAAATAAACTCTCCCCTCTCCCACCTCAGCATATATTTCTTCCACTGCATCTCAGGTTTATCAGCTTTAACTATGAATGACAAAAAACTCAGTCTAATGAAGCAGCCCAGTTTATTTTCATGAACATGTAACTGTTACCAACTTACTAAAGTGCCCTTAGAAAGCAATTCAAATTACAACAATATAGTATAAAGCTGCAAAATTTCTAGCAAAACTATTCCCACTAAATGTGCTAGAGAGCCTTGGATAGGTCCTTTTGTGTTCTCTAAACCTACCACAACTAGTACCACTGTGCAAATGGTACTACACTGCTTATAACAAGACTGGAGGGTAGCAAAGTAGGAAAGAGCAGGATTCCAAATGGAGAATTTAAGGCATAGCCAGAAGGCAATTGTGGAAAAAGCAAAGGGAGCAAAACAGAGGATCATAGGAGATAAAGTCAGCAGGAAGAACAATGCAAACCTGGTAGAACATGGTGAGACTAACTGTTATATCTTCAGAGTGATGGGTGGCCATTGAAAGGTTCTGAAAAGGGAATGAAACTTTAACATTTAAAAACCACCACAACCACCTTAACCTGTTTAGA